CAAAGCTGACACAGTGTTTCTTGAACACCATTGCGCATGCGTAACTCCAAAAACAAAAAAAAATGTTTGTTTTTTTCATTTTGTTATGAGATAAAAATTGAGAATACTTTTGATGACAGAGCACTTTAGAAAAACCTTCCTTTTGAAAATGTTTTTTAATATTCGTTTACATAAAGTAAATAATCGTTTTATTTTTTTTCGAGACAAAAAAAAGAGCTAATTTGTTTTAATAACCAGAGAAAAAAAATGTTTCATTAATGAGAAAGTTCTTTAAACTGACCATTGACCAACTGTAAGTATTAATAAAAGTGCTCAACGGGCGTACGATATCAGAATAAAAATACTTTATTTATCCAACTACTCAGATTTTCGGGTAAGATTGAGATGTGTTACATTTCTCATATCATTCTTTAATACGTTCTGAATATGATTTATTTATTATTCTGAAAATCATAACACATTGTCTGTTTATGTTTCAAAGTAGAACTTCTGAACTTTGAAGTGTTTTTTATTCATGTATACATCTATATGATTATCCCCGAGACTTATATTCCAACATTAACTTGTTTGTTGAATTTCGCCCAAAGCTAGTCGAAGACTATCTGTGCTAGCCGTCCCTAATTTAAAGTGATAGATAAGATGGAAGACGGCTAGTAAACAGCACCCACCGACAACCCTTGTGTTACTATTTTACCAACGAACAGTGGAATTTACTGTTACATTATAATGCCTCCACGGCTGAAAAGGTGATTTGTTCGTTGACGGGATTTGAACCCGCAACCCGTAGATTGCGAGTGAAGTGCCTAAACCATAAACGTAACACGAGCTAATGTCAACGTAGGCATGAAACTGTGACTGAACCATATTCATTTATCAACTTTCATCGTCCTAGACTGTTTCTTAAATTACTGAAAAATAAAACAAATAAAATAAATATATATATAGTCAAATATCAGAAGTGAATTACTAGGTAAAGAATTCATTTTACTTAATTAAGAACATTATCTACCTGAGGAGGTGCTCTATTTATCTATCTGCACCCCACCCCTACCCACCCCACAGTGGCTCAGCGACAAGTCTGAAGGCTCATTCCGCTATAAAGCGGGTTTTGATACCTGTGGCGAGCACAGCACAGTAAGCTCATTGTATAGCTTTGCACTTAATAACAAACAAACAATTAACCTATCTATATATATATATATCCATTTATCCATCCAGAGAAATGACGTAAGACCTAATCAAAGTTATTATACTTACAAGCTTGGAATCAGCTTGTTAAACTAGTACTATAAAACTTCAGACAAGCCTGTGACGATTGAAATATGTTTTGAACAAAAACAAGTCACCGACCGCCCGATTAGACAGACTGCATAAACTCCTTCAAGCGGATCATGCACTGAAGATTGAAAAAAACAGGGTCAAATGTGAACTATATGTTTGTAGGCCAAGCTTCCAAATTCGTCTAATAATAAGCAGATGTGAGCGATTTTTCTATCCAGATATATGCTGGAAAATCAGGACTGGTCTACCTGTACAATTATACGCTAACGCCTTACTGTCGCATTGATAGACTGAGGAAATAGAAGCACTGAATATCAGTCCTTCTTGAACAAGTATTTAAACCGGTTTTGCTAAACGAATCACTGTCTTTTGTTCTCAAATTATGGACGCTTATAAAGGAACATCAAGTTATGCTTTAACAAATGAAAATTGAATAATTTTTGTTATATTATAACGGGTTTCGGGGTTTTTAAAATACGAAAAATGAAACTTTGCATGGCCATAAAAAATCAGAAGTTGTTGTTTTTGCAAAGTAGATGAATTTATCTGAAAACTCACAACATTTGAATTAGATTATATTCAGCAATAATCACTTAATGAAGACAAACATAATTACGAAGGTACCTACAGCGACCTGAAGAGGGCTTCAGTATAGAAGCTGAAACGTCGTTTCCTTGTATTTCAACAGATGGCTGCAGTCCATTATATGTACTATATCTGGTGTGCCTAAAGTTCCACTGAAACTACATAATTGCGTTAAACACTATAACCCCAAATTGGTGTAAAGTTCCACTGAAGCTACATAATTGCGTTAAACACTCTAACCCCAAATTGATGTAAAGTTCCACTGAAACTACATAATTGCGTTAAACACTCTAACCCCAAATTGGTGTAAATTCCACTGAAGCTACATAATTGCGTTAAACACTCTAACCCCAAATTGGTGTAAAGTTCCACTGAAACTACATAATTGCGTTAAACACTATAACCCCAAATTGGTGTAAAGTTCCACTGAAGCTACATAATTGCGTTAATCACTCTAACCCCAAATTGATGTAAAGTTCCACTGAAACTACATAATTGCGTTAAACACTCTAACCCCAAATTGGTGTAAAGTTCCACTGAAGCTACATAATTGCGTTAATTACTCTAACCCCAAATTGGTGCACTGATTTATAACTTTTGCACTTACACTAATTTTATCTTAATATTTTAACGTAGTTTTTAACTTAAACAAACAGCTACTAAATACTATACACACAACACGTACTCACGAAGCAAGGTATTAAATCTTGTCAGCAGAATCCCCCAGGTGGCGCTATGGTAAGCTTGATGCTTTGTAAATCTAAAATTCAAGGCGTAACACCCTAAATAATTATTAGCATAACATTTCATATAAAGGACTATAAGAGTGCTGAATTTCCTAGTTACTAATTTAATGTAATCTTATATATATATAACATAGCCTGGTGGTTAGGGCACTTGACTCGCAAGCTGCGAGTTTGAATCCCATCACCGAACACTCATCCTTTCAGCCGTGGAGGCATCTTTATGCTACGGTCAATCCCACTATTCGTTAATAAAGAGTACCCTAAGTGTTGGTGGTGAATGATGTTGGCTAGCTATTTTCCTTCTAGTCTATCACTTCAGAATTAGTGAAGGATGGATAGGGAGTATTTCGGCACAAAATGCAACAACAACAAAAATTATGAAAGTGTTAAAATTCCATTTTATTAACTTCATCTTTTATAAAAAGTACTGCAAGAGTGTTGAAATTCCCAAATGGTGAGTTGCAACCTTTCTTGGCCAAACATTTTTTTGTAATATATTAAATGTTAATATTTATAACTTCAAGTGTTTTTTTTCAGCCGCGGCTTAGCGGCTCATAGAATGGCGCTGAGTTTTTTATTGTTTTTGTCAAGTACAAACTTTTACTTCATAACTTCCTCATCTCTTGATCGATTTGAGATATAATCATAGTTTTGAAGTCAAGAGGTCAAAATATTTCGATTGATGTATTTCACCATGCCCAAGGACTGTTAAGTATTAGGATTTCAAATCGTCCGAAGCCGAGTTAACTGATAATTTAGTAGTTAAGTTGTACTTCAGATTTAGTAGTTAAATTAAAGCCGATATACAATCAGTTTATGATATTTACCAACAAGGCTGATACACACCGTTTTCGTTTATAACACAAATACATTTTAATATACACACAACAACACAATTTACAATAACAGTTATTACAAACAATGATTTATAAACAAAAGTTTCACAAACTTACAAACAATATAAAATCTTCTTTCTAGTTTGGAACTCCCTTGATATCTTATCGAGGGTTTACGATGAGCGAGTTAATTTCAAGTCGACGTAGATACGATTCGCCGGGAAGCTAGCTAGCTTTGTCCTTGGTCGGTTGAAGTTAGGTAATGTCTTTGTAAAAATACTAACGTACAATGAGAATCCACTAAAGTTAAACCATTTGTAACGTTCAAATTTTATAAATATTCCTGATCAAATATCTTAAGTTTTCCGATTGATAAGCGTTATAAAAATCACAGTTATAGCTTTCGAAGTTCATAGCACACTGATTATAGCGAACTAATAATAGATACTCTCTTTGGCGCGTCACATTGGTTGTATTTAAAAGCATGGGAAGGGTTTCTAGAAAATTCAGATTACATAACAATACTGAGCTATATTTAAACGTTTACGTATATAGATGTATTGTTGATTCTTACTCTCGAGAATCTTCTACAACTTTGGACAATAGGCGGGAGTTGTGCAATACATTTCTAACATTATAAGCTAGGCATGTTTTTAAAACAAATTTAATATAAACAACGTTCATATTAAAATAAATACATAACAACAAATTATTTACAGGTCTCATAGCTTAATTTACTCTAATCCTGCCTAAAATAATTTCAGTTTGAGGGTAGGCTTGTACAGATCGTGATGAGTAACAAAATTGAATCGGGTATACCGCGCCCCACGCTTGGTATTGCTGGTGCAAAAATGTAGCTGTTGTTGTTGTTGTTGTTCTTTCTTATTAAGCACAAAGCTACACAAAGAGCTATCTGCGCTCTGCTCACCAAGGGTATCGGAACCCAGTTTCTAGCGTTGTAAGTTCTCAGACATGCCGCTATGCTACTGGGGGGGGGGGGATATAGCTAATATAAATAAGAAATGAAGGTCTCACAGATTAATTTACTCTAATTCTGCCTAAAAGAATTTCAAATGCCGCGGCTATTGAGGACTCCCTCTTGTTGATTAAATTATGACTACTACTTTATAAAACATATTTTCAGTTGGATCGTTGTTTTTGAGCTGAACTGTAATTATTCCTACTTTTCCAGACTTTTGTTTGTATTCATTTTCCTTATTTATTCTAAATCCAAAACACCTTAGAAATAGACTATTTATATATCTATCTATCGTATTTCCAATAACTTAAGAATATTAATGGTATAACGTCATGGGCTTTCAATGACTCAGAGATAAGTCTTATAACGCAAAAAACCGGGTTTCAATACCCGTGATTAGCGCATCCCAGATAGCTCATTGTGTAGCTTTGTGTTCATCTACAAACAAACAAACCTTGGACAATTAATTAATAACTCCAGGGGTGTGTTGGTTTGAGTGTGTGTGAATTAGTCTGTACGTCTGTGACCTTAATAGAGCTATACAGTAAATCTCTAAAGTATTATTTCCAGGTTCACTTTCTGTCGTCTTCACGTGCTCTAGAATGGTATCATCCGTGCAGTCAGGCGTGAATGGAAAAACAAACAAAACTCTTTCTTTCGTCAAGGTATGTATAACACGCGTAAGTTCGTAATAAAGGTGTCCCTCAAACCTTTGGGCTATTTCGTGCGAGAAGTACATCATAATGAGTGTAGCATTCCTTTCTAGCATAGAGTAATCACCTATCTGCCCTGATTTCCAATCTTAAGATGAGTGATATATTATCGTTATATATAAAGGACAACTTAGCAGCGCCCCCGCCGTAGGGCTCGTGATCTTACCATCGCTGTAGGAGGAGACAGTTAATCATTCACGTGACGGGAAGCCTACTCCGTGCATTATGGGCGCTCTTTGATGACACCCTTGTTCCAATTTCTTGCTCTATCTGAGAGGGGGTAGTATATATATATATATAAGCTCAGAGACTCTTCCACAGAACAGAAAGCTACAGCAGCTCATCGAAATTGTTGTTCATCCATAGCTAGATATTCTTCTTTTCAGTTTTCGCCCAGTAAGACTTGTTCTAAAGAACCCTTGACCAACATGAAGCCAATGGTAAGAAACTGGAATACAAACTTCCAAATACCTCTCTTCTTGTTTGTAAGGGAAATCACTTGTAGTGCTTATGCCGTGCAAGAATATTCAAGTTTTACCTTTATTATATTACATGTACTATAAATTTAGTAAAAACTGTGACTACTTGTTAGCGTAAAGGCGAAGTTTTACTAAATGTTAAGCCTTACCTGGAGTATGTCTAATGATAGAACTTTCAACTCCTTATTATGCTTAGTTATTTCAGATGACAATGACATTTGTTGTTTAGTAGTTTAAAAATATCGTAATTATATATTGATATCTATATGATATCTGAACAGTAACATTGATAGTAAAATGCTCTAAATTTAAGTTCAAAAGTAATACACTTATAGTTGATCTATTACAGTTAAGCTTGAACATTTCTTCTAACTGTACGCAGTTATATTATTATTAATGCAATCAAAATAATAATTTTCAAAATAATTAACTTTAATATAAATTACATTAAGCTGGCGTTTTGAATTTTCTTGAAATGAGAACTTGCAATAAGCTTCACAGTTGTGAAACCGTAAAATAGTTTATAAGTTTAAATTAAAAGTTTTAAGAAAAAAGAAACTATAAATGAAAACCCGCCATGTTTAATATTATGTGGCTAATTTTCACCAGGATTTTATTGTTATTTCTGACAAATAAAAATATATTATTACTCTAATAATAATTGCTCTTTTGAAAAAAAAAAGCATGAAAACATATTGCACAAACATTGTTTATTCCTTGCAATTAATATTACAAATGTCTATTTTATTAGATTGCATTTACAGCATTGCTGCTCTATGTCTCACCTTGGGTAGAGGGCTTTGGTCGACAGCAGGGCTATGGACAACAGCAACAACAGTCCTTCTTTAGTCAACAACAAAAGCCTTTTGGCCAACAGCAGCAGTCCTTTGGTCAACAGAATGGCTACCAGCAGTCAGGAAGTGTCGGATCCCAAAATAATTTTGTAAGTTTGTACCATTAATTTTGACCAACCATACTGTAGAATTAAATTTGACTCACAGTCCGATGAAAACTACTTTATAGTTTTGCTTTGTTTCTGCCTTTGTCTTTTATCTGTTTTTCTTCCTTTGAGAGAGAAAGAAGAGAAATAAATATGTAGCGTTGTAGGCTTAATGCAGCTGATCTAGAGAGACGGAGCAGTGCTCTAAGAAAAAGTAAAATGTTCTTCGTCGCGAAAAATAAATTTATTGAGAAAACTTGTTTGTTTTGAATTTCGTGCAAAGCTACACGAGGGCTATCTGCGCTAGCCGTCCCTAATTTACCAGTGTAAAACTAGAGGGAAGGCAGCTAGTCATCACCACCCACCGCCAACTCTTGGGCTACTCTTTTACCGACGAATAGTTGGATTGACCGTCACATTGTAACACCCCCACGGCTGAAATGGCGAGCATGTCTGGTGTGATGGAAATTCGAACCGCGTCCCGCAGATTGCGAGTCGAGCGACCTAACCATCTGGCCATGTCGGGCCAACTGAGAAAGCTGAAATGTTAATTGCATATTAAAATTATTGTGAATATGCAGTGGCAAACCATTAAATAAATTCTTAAACTGGCTTTCAGTCATCATTTTCTTTTTCTCGCTTATTATCCAATGAAAAATATGTTTTTAGTACAAAAGTAGAAATTTAGCATATCATCATAATTAATAAATAGGAAAAATCAACAGTGCATTTTGGCTATTCAGTGTATTTCTATCCAGGAAAAAAGAAAAACGTCTTAATGATATTTCAAGCAACTAATGATGTTAAGTCAGGCTTTTGTTGTTAAAAGTATGTATCTACCATATTTCGATACCCGTGGTGGGCAGAGCACAGATAGCCCATTGTGTAGTATTGTGCATAAATTCAAACAAACAAACAAACCATATTTCCAAACATAAGTTTAGACGTATTCTACTCTCGGTACCAGCTCTCAGTAAGTTTTATAATGTATTAATAATAACAGCATTCTATACATATATATATGCCATAGTTGTAATTCACGTAAAGAACTTTAATGAAATACACAGTGTTAGAAAATATTTAACCTTAAGTTTCGTTGGCAAACGGAATTGAAGAAACGTGTCTCCGCACAAATATTATATATTCATTTTAGTCCAGGTTTGTTTATTGTTGTAGGGTTTAACATACATAAACAGAAAAGTAAATTATAGCTTTTGATTTTTACAAACACTTAGTAAAAACTTTGATTTTGTGCCTACAAAGATTTAAAGTGAAATTCACATGTTTATAGATGGGAAAGTGTTTTTTTTACTCAAAATATCAAACTAGATGCGGTTATAAGTTCTTTATAAACTGTTCAGAGATGTACTTTTCCATGCATTAATATTTTACGTTAAAAAATCTTTATATTCATAACAATAAATTATTTGACAACTAAAATTCCAAGTTCTATAACACTACCTTTCAGTCTAAAGCAGCTTCAGCGTTGTGAAGGAACAGTAAAAAATCTATCTAAGATTGTGAATAACACATCTTAACGATAAAAGCTCATTTCTGCAGTTCCTCTCTTTTTTCTTTTTTTTTCTGATGAAGGTCTGTTATATGACAAATAAAAACTTCTGGTGATTAGCACTGATGATTTAACTAAGTTCAAAACGTATTCTGTAACGTGATGCAGTTTTATCCTATCTTTTAGTTTCAGCATTGTCTTAGTTTCTGTTTGAATATTAAACTTTGACTCTATGGGTGTCTCGATAGGGACCTCCTCAACCTTTTGATTTTAACTACGAAGCTAAAGATGAATTCGGCAATTCACACTATCGTCAAGAACAAGGAGATCAAAACGGGAACGTATACGGAAGTTACGGATACACTGATGCTAATGGACTCTTTCGTTACGTAGAGTACAGTTCTGGTCCAGGTGGCTTCAATGCTAAAATCCACACCAATGAACCAGGCACAAAAGCTGACAATCCTGCCGATGTTGTTTTGAACGTAGAGCAGCCTCCTGCTGGAATCCAAGATCAATATACACGAAGAACACAAAGCGGTGGATATCAGAATACACAGCAGCAACAGTCATATGGTGGCCAATATCAAACAGGTGGAGGATCTCGTGGTTTCTCAGGGTTTACCGGATCCCGTGGCCGATTTAACTCCCAGCACTCAGGGGGTTCCCGAGGATCTGGAGTAAAACACGCTGGATATGCTTAATAAAGATAACCAAACTTACGGATGGCCAATTTATATGTTAAATAAGGTTATCTTTCAGAAATATTTTTTGAGTTTATAAAGAAAGGGTAATATTTGGTAGTAAATAGTAGATTATTGTACTTTTTTTAGTTTTGAACTCGGATGAAATATATTCAGGATATTAGCTTTAAAAGTTGATATATTTCATCTAGAAAAGTGTTAAGCACTTCTTAAAGCTTATATAAAATTAGCAGTAGGGTGTAAAGTATTCTTTCGAGAGTAACTAAACCGTCAGAAAATGCAAAAACCCTTTAGCTTAAGAATAGCCACTCTTCTATCTGGAACACCATAGCAATATCATGTTGCCAAAGAAGTTATTTAAAATTTGGTTGACTTATTTTGCATAAGACAAAATAACACCCTGGAAATCTATATGTAGGTATGCAAGTTTTGCGTATTCCAAGTCTTTCAGTGTGTTACAGCTTGTCTCATTTCAATGTTCTTTTAGTCTGAAGATAGTATGACACAAAGCTTCGTGGGTGTGGGATAAAAAGCTTAATTATGTAACTGTGATGCCTTTTTCTATTGTTTATTTTTCCTTCACTAATGATAGTTCAATCTTTGGGTTTCTATGCGCACATATAAACGCCAAAATGTATTTTAATGTAATAAAACCATATATTAACCACAAATGAAACTGTGTCTTTCATTAAAATGTATATATTTCTCCAAATCCTGATAACAGTACAGTGAAATACTGCCTTTAAAAAGCTATTTTCATGTCTATTGGGATAAATCAACGGCATGTCGGCTAAAAGGCCAAGTAAGAAATCTCATGTTTCACATATCGCCGTTCTTAATTTATAATTGATGATCAGAGGGGAACGGGGGGGGGGGGATCAGTCAGCACAACTCTTAGTTTGCACGAATATTCTTAACCGAAAACAGGACCACAGTTGAAATTGTGGAGCCTGTCCAGCGGTATATCACGGGTTCGAACCTTGAATCCTTCAATCCGTAGTTTACCACGTTAACCATTACGACAAGTCAGACCCAAATGGAGTAAATAAGGAAAAGGTAATATTTTTGAAGAAAATATTAACATCATGTATATGTTCAACAAACATTTCACTTTTTTCACCAGTAATGACGTCGATAATACTTTGTATAAATTATTGCCGATTTATTACCTGTCTTCATTATTATAAAATATGTTATTTATACAATAGCTGACGCACCCATTTAACGCACAGGGAAGACATAGGGGGCCCCCCGGGGAGTGACATATGTGATCAGAACCGAATGCCCTAGGGGTAAATGCCAGGTTTGGTGACAATCAGTTCAGTCGTTCGCGAGTACGATGAACGTAGAAGGCATAAGGCGGTGGGATCCGAATGCCGACCCACTTATGGCGAGACCTAACTTTGGTGACAATCGTTCCAGCGGTTTTACAATTATAAAAGGGCATATACAGAGACTTTTATCAAATAATGGTTTGAATTAGAACTAACAGTAGGCGTCTTCATAAGCTAGAGCAAAGATATGACCACAATTTTAGTGTTTTTCGGACATCTAGTTGGATGCTTTATTTCTCTTAAGAATGCGACCCCCATCTCCCACTTCTCCGATGTCTCAACGAAAAGCTTGAAACCTTATAATGATAAAATTTGAAGTCTGTCCTTTACGGTGGCTACAGCATAGACAGCCCGTTATGCTTTGTACGTAAAACAAACAGACGAATCAAACTGAAGAAATATGCCCAGAATTTTAGTGTTTTTCGGACATCTAGTTGGATGCTTTCTTTCTCTTAGGAATGTGACCCCCATCTTCCACTTCTCCGGTGTCTCAACGGAAAGCTTGAAAGCTTATAATGATAAAATTCGAGGTTCGACCTTTACGGTGGGTTATGCAGCTTTGCACATATAACAAGCAAACGAATGAAACTGCAGAAGTTTTTATTGAAAGTACTCTTTTATCCTTTTTTAATCTCGTTCTGGGATTAGCGGTACAGCTCTGGTCTAGATCCCTTCTTATCCTTTAAATTACTTGCCGCCATCCTTTCTACGCTGACGTTGTCAACATATTCACCTTCTTTACAGGACTTCCGGTGGGTGACAGAAATGATATATTTCTGACAGCCTTCATTATAGGATGTGGGGGCATAAGAATTATTATAGCGATAATGATATTTCTGGCAGATATTGAAGCGTTAGGGGTTATTATATCAATAATGGAACTTGTGGTAGGTGATAGAAATGTAATTATTCTCTCGAGCGAAATAAACTATTTCATACTGACTAGTATCATAGAGGATGGCAAGGGTCATAAGTATCGTTGTACTGTGAAGGGGTATCACTACAGATTATTGGGGTTTAAGTAGTTGTAGTATAACCGGTGTGTGTGTGTGTGTGTGTTTTGCTTATAGCAAAGCCACATCGGGCTATCTGCTGTGTTCACCGAGGGGAATCAAACCCCTGGTTTTAGCGTTGTAAGTCCGTAGACTTACCGCTGTCCCAGCGGGAGACATAATCGGTGGGAGTTGTTATGTCTGAGAAGGCATATTTATCCAGCTTTGAGAAAAGCAATAGACCATAGGTATATACTCATGGCTCAGATTTGGAAACCTTCTGCCATTTGGGTATTAAGTAATTCAGTATCCAGGCGACAACTTTGTTCTAAAATAATTTCTTGTTTTCACCAAGTTCAGTGTCCGTGCAACAACTTGTTTTAAAATCAGTTTACCCTTATTTTCAACGAGCTCAGTATAGTTCTGTGCGATTATTCATGTCTTTACTGAATTCCAAAACACGAGCATTCTTTATATCTGTTCGCTCAGGACAAAAATGTCCGGAAGTTATTGCTGATTGGGTGAGGTTTGGCAACGTTACCTATTCTGTAGTTGTTTAGTAGGGCAAATAGGGTGCGACCTGTAAAATTTCATTCTCCTCCTAAATATATTTCTCGGACAGTTGATCTAGTGAGAGCAAAGAAAATATTCCACGTGTGAACAAAATATATTGTTTTTGTTGTTGTTTTATCAAAACGTATACAGTGAAATATTATTTTCCTAAACTTCCTATACAAGACAAAGGATTGTGAAAATTCAAACTTGTATTTGTTCTCTATTAATGTTTTTATGCAGTTCTAAAAAACAAGCTAGTATCTTCGTATTGGTAGTATATTCTCCTTCAAAATGTGCATTGGCTTTGACCAAACATTTCATATTTTAATGCGCCTTAATAAAAGTATTAAAGTTTTTAAATGTTTAAATAGCATTTTTATTGAAAAACCGAATTTTCGGACTAGTTACAATGAAGGTACAAACTATTCGCATAGATTACTTTTTTTGTTTCTAAGATGTCATAAAAATGTTCACCAGTGGAACAGCGGTATGTCTGCGGACTTAAAAAGCTAGAAACCGGGTTTCGATACCCGTGATGGTCAGAGCACAGATAGCCCATTTTGTAGCTTTGCTCTTAACTTCAAACACACACAAAAAAAACTTCAATCTTTTTAAGATGTTTGAAAACTCTTATATAAACTATATTAACTGAGTTGTTAAGTAAAGAACGATATTATAAACAGCCAGAACTTTGAATGAGGGAATTTTCAGAGATATGTTTCTGTATTTTGGCTCTCAGACTTCCCAGACGAAAATAACATGCCATTAATATCAGTCCCTATCTTCTTTTTTTCTCTCTCTCTAAAATATAAAGTGCAGATTGGCACTGAATTGGCTCCAGATTTCGTAGCTGGCGACCCAGGTTCCAATCCCTGCGTTACCACAAACTGTTCTCCACAACGTAAGTTGTGAGTACGTTATAAGAGTAATAATCCATTCTTTATTGTTGTTTGTGGATGACAGAATACTGCCGACTGGCTGTCTTCCCTGTGGTCAGTAGTACACAACTAGGGACGACAGGAGATAGCCTTAGTAGCTTAGCTATAAATACAAAGTACAGATACTAAACGCGAAATGCAAAATTAATGAATCGTAAAAAAATTTGTATTTTAGTCATATTTTTTGTAATTCTATATTAAATTGAACAATCAAATGCCTATTTTTCTTGCAATGTTGCAAACAACTACATTTCTGGGGTTGTCAGACTTAACAAGCGTTAGAAACATCCACAAAACTAAAATGTTAAAATTTTCGAAATTAAACTGTATGTTTCAGTGTTTCCACAATGAAATAATTTTATTATGACATATTCACAACTATTGGTTAGCAGAACATGGCTTTTGGTATCTTTCTAAAAACTTGTAGGAAAAAAGGTTACAGCGCTATCTATTGAGAAAAAAAAAAGATTGTATAATTTAATTATGATTCTCGTAATTTTAATAGGGCTTGGCACGGCGTGGTAGTTATGGGTCGTGGATTCGAATCCTGATATCGAATATGCTCACCGTGGGGGTTATAATATGACGCTCAATACCACATTTAGTAGTAAGATTTGGGTTGTGTTGACTAGCTGCTTTCCATCTAGACTATCAGTTCCATGTTAGGGATTGTTTGTTTTGAATTTCGCCCAAAGCTACACGAGGATTATCTACGGTAATCATCCCTCATTTAACAGTGAAAGACTAGAGGGAAGGCAACTAGTCATCTTGGCACCTACCGCCAACTCTTGGACTACTCTTTTATCAACAAATAGTGGGATTTACCGTCACTATATAACGTCCCATGGCTGAAAGGGCGAACATGTTTGGTGGGACTGGGATTCAAACCCACGACCCTCAAATTCCGTGTCAAGCGTCTTAATCACCTGGCCATGCCGGGCCAATCTATGTTAGGGACGGTTAGCCCTTGCGTAACTTTGCACGAGATTCAATAAACAAACTTAATTGCAATATTATAATATATTTGAAAATATACATTCGAAATTATTGACTGAAATACAAAACAATCGCAACCAGATTTTTCAAAAAGGACAGTTTAGATATTCCAGTAAAACTTTTTACTAGTCCATGAATTGTAGTTTTCTTTAAAATTAAAAACACGTCATTCTAACAGACAATATAAATGAACATAAATTACATATCTGGGTATCTTGATATTGTTTTACACAATTCCATACCAAATATATCTATCCATTGCAAAAAAGACATTAGACAAGAAAATTTTCAAACTTATGTGATTCAAAGTCAGAGAGTCAAAGGTCAAATTATTTCCAATTACATGTTCTCATTAAAAAGCCAAACAATTGAATGAAACATGAGACAGCTAAAACAAGTTCATACTGTCCTCGGAAAATATGTTAATGAGCAAAATACAATACTCTTTGTTTTAAAAACGGGACATGCGCATTGATTTGTTTCAAAATTAAATGATATCATTAAAAAGCGAATATTCATTGCAGCTTCTAATCACAAATGCTTATTACGTCACAAACTGAATCTCATTGTTAAAATTGGTGCATATAATATAGAAAACGAAATAAAATATCAGTGAAGTTGTTAAACGCTTGTAAACACAGTTTCGTTTCTATCCTAACGTATCACTGTATACCATCAGGACCCATCTTTGTTGGAAAGTATGGGAGGAGAGAGGCAAGAAACAAGTAAAGTCCATCTAACATAGTTTATAATAAAAGTGTATGTACACTAGCTGGAAAAGTAGGAGCACTTGCCCTTCTTGTTACATGTATTAAATGC